TTCTATTTGGATTGTTGGAGGTTATAGGGGTATATTTGTAATATTGATAAATTATGGGGACCTATATGTATTTATGGGAGAAAAGGGGCTTATGTATAATTTTGATATAATTCGGTCTTTTGCTTGTTTAATCTCATGGTTGTGTGGGATTAGGGTTGTGCGTGTGTGTGTATGAGAGAGAGAGAGAGAGAGAGAGAGAGAGAGAGAGAGTTGTATCTCCTCATAGTGGATATTTTTCCTCTCTTCCCGTGGATATAGGCTACCAAGCCGAACCACGTTAAATGTTGGTGTTCTCTCTATTTCTTCTTATTTTCTTCTTGATTTGCTAGTCTATTTTATGTTAGTTGACATATCTACTACTAGTGGAGTACTTGAAGATGGTGATGGGTCATGGATGTGATTATTCTAACATATTATGGATTGGTTTCTAAAAGTTGTCCCAGTGAGTGCAAGGCTGTTCTCTCCTCTAAGGATTTTGGTTTTTAGTATTTATTGCTTATCATAGGATAGTCATTGGAGGAGGCTCTTTTATTATAACTGGTTGTATGAGGGACATACTAAGAGGTCCATGGAGATTGTACTATTTGATTAGATAAGCAAGATCTTTGATATCCATAGTTAACCTTCATTCCACTGTGTTTCAAGATTGGCTAATTCGACCATTGATGGCTTAGTGAGAGAGGAGATCTTGAGGAGTGATCTGTGTTGTGGCATCTCATTGCTGAGTTGGGGGTTATTTCTTTCTTTTTATTATTGTAAATTTTGTATAGGGGATCCATATGGGGGAGATTGAAGAGATGGCTCAAAAGTGACATTGTTCACTCTTGGTGATAAAGGTATATCTGAAAGTGTTAATTTACACTATGCTGGTGACTTAGAGTGATTGGATGTGCTGCTAAATGCCATGCCCTTTGCATTTGCAATTGAAAAGTGACACGTTTCTCATTTGAGCTCCAATACGAGATGCAGAAACTGTATGCTTAGAGACAAATGGAACAAATTTAGAGGCATACTGCAAATATGAGACATAATCAACATAGAATCAGAACGGAATTATGAAAGTTAGAGTTTTGATAGATGGGTATGGACTCCTGCCCCCTCTGGTTCTTTCTCATGTGCTTCTTTTTTTAGGGTCTAACTCAACCCCCTCCCTTGCAGCGCTTTCCAGAGGTTTGGTGTAGGCCTATACTACCTAGAATTGTAGCTTTTAGCTAGGAGGTTTTCCATGAGAAAATAAACACTTGTTTGTTTACTTCAAAGGAGACCCACCAGCTATTTATCCCCTCATTGATGTGTCCTTTACAAAGTAGATGGTGAAACCTGCTATCACTTACTAATCTCCTGTCTGTTTGTTACTTGCATTTGGAAATGGTTTCTTTCTTTGTTTGGGTGCAGGTGGAATTTCCCTTTTAATATGTCTAGCCTATTCTCTTTCACGAGCTTTAGCTGGCCCAGGAAGA